GTGGCCTCTCCCGTTGCGGAGCACAGGCTCCGGACGCGCAGGCTCAGCGGCCATGGCTCACGGGCCCAGCCGCTCCGCTGGCACATGGGATCCTCCCAGACCGGGGCACGATCCCGTGTCCCCTGCATCGGCAGGCGGACTCTCAACCGCTGCGCCACCAGGGAAGCCCCCATCCTTTGGTTTTTTATGGAGGCTTCATCACACAAGCGCGCTCGGTTAAATCACTGGCCGTTGAAGATTGATTCAACCTCCAGCCACTCTCCAATCCCCGGCGGAGGTCAGGGTGCGGGGCTGAAAGTTCCAGCCCTGTAACCACGTGGTTAGTTCTCCTGGCTATGAGCCCCCATCCTTAGGTGTGGGTCCAAAAATCACCTCACTGATGTAACAAAGATACCTTGATCTCTCTCACCACTTAGGAAATTCCAAGGGTTTTAGGAGCTCTGTGCCAGACATGGGGATGAAGACCAAACATATATTTCTTATTATAAACCATAGTATCCAGTAACATGAGAGAGAGTGCACTGTGGTTTTAGGACAGCATTAGATCGGGTGCCTGGGCAGGGCTTCCCGAGGAGGCCCTGTTTAAATGGAGACCCAGAGGCAGAGAAGCAGCCCGTCCTGCAGAGATCTGCGTGAAGCACATCCCAGGCAGGGGCTCAACAAAGGCGAAGGCTCTGAGTGGGGAAAAAGCTTGGTGAGTTCAAAGAACGGAGGCGGTTGTGAGCATGTTGTAGGGGGAGCGGAAGAGGGGTTGGCGGATGGTCCCAGATGTGGGTGGACAGGCTCAGGCCAGCGTAGACCCGGCAAAGAGTTCCGATCTCCTAGGCGCAGTCGGCAGTCACTGCAGGATTTCATGCAGGGAAGCAGCGTGTTTTACGCTTTTCTAAGAAGACTGCTCTGTGGAGGAGGGAGTGTTGGGTAGGAGAGAGTGCTGGGAGGCATCAAGCCATTGTCATGGGCCAGGTGAGGGGGACAGTGGCCTGGGGTAGGGGTCGCATGGCAGATGGAGTGGAGGGAAGAGGAAGCATGTGGGCGTAGAGGACACAGCATGGCCGGTGGGGTGGGACGGGAGTGAGAAGTTATCTTAGTGCAGTATAAAAGCAAGAGGACGGGCTTCCCTGGTGGCGCAGCGGTTGAGAGTCCGCCTGCCGATGCAGGGGATGCGGTTTCGAGCCCCGGTTCGGGAAGATCCCACGTGACGCGGAGCGGCTGGGCCCGTGAGCCATGGCCGCTGAGCCTGCGCGTCCGGAGCCTGTGCTCCGCGGCGGGAGAGGCCACAGCAGTGAGAGGCCCGCGTACCGCAAAAAAATAAATAAATAAATAAATAAATAAAATAAAAACAAGAGGACATGGAGATGATCACTTAGAGCATCCAAATTCCATTTGATTCTCTCTCCTGAGTTAAATGTTATTCCACGTATTCAGTATTATAGTGAAACTGAGCTTTTTCAATACCAATGCGTTTCAAGAGACACTTAAAGCTTACTTGCCTCTTACAGTTGGCTGCAATGACTGAGAAGAAATTAACTTAGAAGATCAGTAAACGTTTGGTATTTGTTAGCTAAACTGAACAAGAATTTCAGCTAACAGCACAAGGACAAGCATGACCTAAACTCGTTAATTTTGCTAATAGTCCTTCCTTCTTTACAGAAAGCTCAAGTTCCCTATAACATATACAAAATTAGAAAATAGACCTGCATTATTTTAAAAAATCCTATTTAGTATTTTTGTATCTTTAGCCTTCTGAGAAGTCCATAAGTATGATAGGCAAATTCTAGAAGGTGTTACCCTCCCAAATGATGCACAGGTCCAAAGGTACTGGAACGTGCTTTGATCTCCCCCCGCCCCTTGTTAGCTGACCCCATTGTCCTTTTCATTTGACTTATGAAATTATTCTAGGGACTTCCCTGGAGGTCCAGTGGTTAAGATGCCCTGCTGCCCAGCCGCATAGCACAGGGAGATCAGCTCGGTGCTTTGTGACCACCTAGAGGGGTGGGATAGGGAGGAGATATGGGGATATATGTATACGTAGAGCTGATTCACTTTGTTATACAGCAGAAACTAACACACCATTGTAAAGCAATTATACTCCAATAAAGATATTAAAAAAAAAAAAAAAAGATGCCGTGCTTCCACTGCAGGGGGCATGGGTTCCATCCCTGGTCGGGGAACTAAGATCCCATATGCCGCGTGGCATGGCCAAAAAAAAAAAATTCCGGGTGGCTTTGAAGTCCACGTAACCAACCTAGCAACTCTTAAGAAACCTGCCTCACTGCGGCTCATCCTGTCCTGTAGAAGGTGGAGGGACAGGGAAGGATCCACAGGAGAGATCTTAAGAGTGGTTATGGCTGAGCTACGCAGCCACCATGGGGAGGGGAGATTTGAACATGAGTAGCTCCAAACACACCTCTCTACTGCATCTCACCACCACCATTAGTTCATCCTTTACACAGAAGCCTTTAGAGTATGGTTGTGTTTGAATGAAGGGTACAACAGTTTTTCAAAGATTTAAATACACTCTTCTAGGCAGTAGCAAGCTTGCCTACTGCGATGGGCACAGTCCGCATAATTCTGTCATTTTTTTTTGTGTGTGTGGTACGCAGGCCTCTCACTGTTGTGGCCTCTCCCGTTGCAGAGCACAGGCTCCAGATGCACAGGTGCAGCGGCCATGGCTCACGGGCCCAACCGCTCCACGGCATGTGGGGTCTTCCCGGACCGGGGCACGAAACCGTGTCCCCTACGTCGGCAGGCAGACTCTCATCCACTGCGCCACCAGGGAAGCCCTTGCAGAGCATCCAGATGCACAGGTGCAGCGGCCATGGCTCACGGGCCCAACCGCTCCACGGCATGTGGGGTCTTCCCGGACCGGGGCACGAAACCGTGTCCCCTACGTCGGCAGGCAGACTCTCATCCACTGCGCCACCAGGGAAGCCCAATTCTGTCATTTCTGAGTCACCAATATGAATTGAGCTTCACCAGCCAGTGAGTGAAACATCCTCAGCAGCCTCCCAAAATTCCGTGTTCCAGCTTCCGCCCTCTGCTACCCCAACAAATATTTGCGAGCATCTCTCAGAGGTCTATCTCTTTATGAGACTTACATCCCATAGGCCCTGGCAGTCTGTGAGTTCTAAGTTAGGTCAGTTCCTGGTTTCTGCTGTTCTGGATTTGTGTATTTCCCCCCTCTCTCTGGCTCTTGAGGAAGTGTCTCCCTCTTGCCAGACCCATCTTACAGAGAATGGAGCCACAGCAGAGCTGATTGGAGCCCCGAGGGGTGCAGGAAAGAGGGGAGCATTGGACTGAGCTGGGCCTGGGGATGAGCGGGGTCAGGCTTCAACCTTTGACACTGGGGTCCTGTTGCTCCATCTGGTGCACCTGTTAGACTTACCCCCTCACCTGTTGGTTTTCATTCCCGGGTGCTGTTGCCTGGTTTTATCCATCAAAGCACTGCCCATCCAGTCCATCAAAGCAGGGTTCACCTTCTTTCCCAAAGGGCCTCAGGATTCCCGCCTCAAACTAGGAGTTGTGGCTGCGTGCAGCAGGCTGGTCCACCCCAGAGCACCCAGACACCTTCCTGGAGGCTGTTGCTTAATGCCACAGGTGGGCCCAAGTCCAGTTCTGGTTAGTCACGGTGATTTATAGCAAGAGTGAAATCATACTTGGAAACAAGAGGAGAGATTATGTAAATCCATGTGGGAAAGAAGCTTAGAAGCTCACAGATTTTCTACTCCGCTGATGGTTTCACCCCCTTTCTGAATGGCCTTTCTCAAGTGAAACCTTACAGAACCCCAAGGAGGAAACAGGTGGCACCCAGATGTCAGGAGCAGATTTCCCTGCCCTCCCACCCCTCCCTCTGCTGGGGGCACCCCTCCCTGCCCCCAGAAGCCACTCCGAGGAATGCTAGGGATCCTTCCTTGGAACATGACTTGAAAATCACCACACTGTGATGCGTGATGCCAAGATTGCAGAAAGGAAGGCAGTTACGTGCATTGAATGTTGCCGTCTCCCCAAGAGCCATGTCTGCCCCTGGCTGCTGGGTCTGCAGCCTCCCCCAACCTGCATTGACTCTTTCAGATGCAAACGTGTGCAGGATATGCCAGAGCCCTTCCTGGGTGGTAAGATCATCCTCCACGTAGCCACCGGAGTCCTCTTCTTGAAATTCATATCTGACATTGTCATTCCTTAAATTCCTTCTCTGGTGCACCATCCTTCATAGAATGAAGGCCCTGGGCACTCAGCTCTTTGCTGATAATAGTCCCTATATACCTGTCCGCCTTCTCTGCTGCTCCCCAGAAAATACCCCTATGCCCCACAGCCACCTGGCACACTCCCACTTCAGCACCAGATTCAGGCTGCACGACCTTGGTAAAACCTCCTCTCACTTCCTGGTTCTAAGCTCCGTCCTCACCTCCAGCTGGTGTACATCACTCTACCCTCTCTGCCCCAGAGTTTATTTTTCAGCCTTCTCTGGCGCACGATGAACGTTGGTCTGTCTCCTCCGCTTAAATGGAAACTCCTTGAGGGCAGAGATGTTGGTGGGAGGGGGCTTATTCACTTTCCCAAGTGACTCCCAAGCCCCCAGCAGATGCCTGGGGCAAAGGGCACCCAGCCTTTGAATGAATGAATCCTCAAGTTCCCACAGGTGCATTTGTCGAGATGTGAATGACAGTTATTAAACAAATCAGCTCCGAGTTAATAAAAGCAGAGATCATTTGAAGAGGCTCCGTTGTTGCAAGCCTTTCAGTAGCAAGTCTGTTTAAATGAGATCTCAGGTTTTAAACGCAAGTCTTCTTTGTGGAAGCAATTGAAGCTTCCGCCGTTCTGTGCACGTCTTTCCACCTGAGTGGACGTGGCTGTAACGCACCTCAGTGTTGAGGGTTGATTGTAGTCATTGCACAAGGAACAGGTGAGAGTCACGGGAGAGGCGCGTGTGTGTGGAGGTGTGTGTGTGACAAGTGGCTGGGTCTTAATGAACCACTTACTTGAAAATTGTCTTTCTACAGGTGATGTGTCACCAATCAGTATGTCTCCCATCAGTCAATCTCAGTTTATCCCACTCGGGGAAATCCTTTGCTTGGCCATCTCCGCAATGAACTCGGCAAGAAAACCTGTCACCCAAGAAGCACTGATGGAGCACCTGACCACCTGTTTCCCAGGTAACAAGAAAAGAATGAGGCACTTCCCAAATGGATGTGTGCTCTGGCTGCCCTGGCACTTCCTATGGACAGTTCATCCCATGTTTAAGTTCAACAGGGAAAGGAAAATCTTTCACAAAAGATTGACCAGTGACTTTTCTTTGTTCTGTAATTAAAAACCAAGGCACTAGTGTCTCTTCAAAAATAATTTGCCTTCTTCAGCTGTAATGGTTTTTAGTTGACCCTGAGGGAAAGAAATTAAATCAGAACCCTTGAAGAATTCTGCGAAAGACTACCACAATTCCATTTAGCCTTTGCGACACAACCTTCTTAAAGTACGTGAACATCTTCATTCATGGGACCGGGTCAGAAACAACTGAAAATTTGAGTCCTAAGGGATTCAGCTACAAAGAGAGTAACGTCAAAAATAAACATTATCTTGCATGCTCATGTCACGGGCTGATGAGTTTTAAGAGTATGCTATTTGATAAATTAAACTGACCTTATTTTAAAAGAAAAAAATTAAATAAAATGGTTCTTTTTCCTTTTAAAATTTTTTTAATTTTTTTTTAATCGGAGTATAGTTAATTTTCAATGTTGTGTTAGTTTCAAGTGTACAGCAAAATGATTATATATATATATATATATATATTCTTTTTCAGATTATTTTCCATTATAGGTTATTATCCTATATTGAGTGTAGTTCCCTGTGCTATACAGCAGGTCGCTGTTGTTTACCTATTTTGTATATTGTAGTGTGTACATATTAATCCCAAACTCATAATTTATCTCTGCCACCACCCCCGCACCGCTGCTATCCCCTTTAGTAACCATAAGTTTGTTTTCTATGTCTCTGAGTCTGTTTCTGTTTTGTAAATAAGTTCATTTGTATCCTTTTCTTCGATTCCACATATAAGTAATATTGATATACATACATCTGTCTTTCTCTCTCTGACTTATTTCAGTTAGTATGATAATCTCTAGGTCCATCCATGTTGCTGCAAATGGCATTATTTCATTCTTTTTAACGGCTGAGTAATATTCTATTGGGGGGAGAAAATGCACACACACACACACACACACACACACACACACACACACCCCACATCTTATTTATCCATTCATCTGTTGATGGACACTTAGGTTGTTTTCACAACTTGGCTATTGTAAATAGTGCTGCTGTGGCCATTGGGGTGCATGTATCTTTTCAAGTTAGAATTTTCTCCAGATATATGCCCAGGAGTGGGATTGCAGGATCGTCTTTTTCTCTTAAGTATTATAAAAAGAAGATAATAGCCCAGCCACTGTATGAATAGTATCTGATGCCTCCAGTGCCAGAAGATGTTAGGAGTGGTGATAAGCTGAGGAATTCTCATGTGCTGTCTCAAGAGAAGCAGCCCACTACTCAGCTCCAGTGTATTGTATCTGCCCCCCCCAGAGTTGCCAAATCTTCTAATTTTTTAAGACAATCTGGAAATACAGTTTTATGTGAAATCTATAAATTTCCTTAAATAATGGCAATTTGCATGTGTGTGTGTATTTTAACATGTGTATGCTGACGACATACAAGTCGAATAAAACACATTATTGGTCCACCAGTTTGCCAACTTGGCCTGATCTCACCCCATACCTAGCTTGAAACAGAGCTTACGTTAAAAATGAGCGACAAACACTTGACATATTTTTCATTCAACCTAGAAGAGACCTTAAACCTCAGTAAAATGAGCTGTTGGTTGCATTTGTTAGCTTTTGCTACACAAATGCTGGGTAACAGTTACAGAACATCAGCGATGTATGACAATGAACATTTATTTAGCTCGTGGGTCTGTGGGTTCTCCACGAGTCAGCTGGTCCAGGCTGGAGCTTGCCAGGTGACTGTTCCACCTGTACTCCATCCTCTTTGGAGAAGGGACCTATTCTGCTCGTTGGGGTGGCAGAGGCCCAAGAGAACAAGTCCAGGGGCTCTGGGGCTCTTCAGTCCTCTGGTCATGCCACGCCCACTATCATTTCATTGACCAAAGCAAACCCGGCCAAACTCAAAGTCAAGGTGTGGGAAATGCAGCCCACCCATGGGGAGATGGCAGAGGGACTACTTTTACATAGTCACCCACTGTGTTGAGTCTCCCCACTTTTCCTGTTGCCCCAAAGGAACTCCATATTTCTCTCCCAGTGATTTTTTTTCCCTCCTTTTGGGGTTTTCTAATTATCACCTTTGAACAACACGGGTTAGAACTGCACAAGTCCATTTGTCCATGAATTTTTTTCAATAAATCTAGTATCTGTATTTTCCTTTCATAGATCTTTAAATTAACTAAGGGTAAGGGAATGTTTGTGTTCAATTAGAGATCATAATATGTGGAATCAAAACCAGACTATCTCAGCTTCCTGCCCTTGGGTGAGTCATTTATCAATTCCTCTGTTTTTGAGGCAGAGATAGCAGTACCGGATTTTTGACCACGAGGGGGGGTGGTGCCCCTAACCCCTGCATTGTTCAAGTGTCAACTGTAATATGTTTTGAAATTACATGTACTCTTTAAAAGCTCTGACATGAGCCCACCCCTTCAACCTATTGATTGTCTTAAATTTTCTAACATTTTATTATCTCTGAATATTCTTCACTGTCTGTATGTCTTTCTCTGTTAACTTCTAGGCGACTCCTTTTCCGTTCAATAGTAAGAAAAGAGAATCCCAGGTGAGATTACTTAAGGGGACAAATGTGTTCATGAACTAATGCTTTTGTGAAGGAAGGCTGTTCTTTTTGGCCTTTTACCTGGGTAGCCTCTTCTGACATCAAACATCCCAGCTGCTTTTAAAATCCCTCTGTTTTTATGTAGGTTCATGAGAGATCCCATAGCTTTTCCAAACTTGGTTACATATCTCCCATTACAGGGCCATAAAATAGAGAACAGAGGGTTTCCCTGGTGGTGCAGTGGTTAAGAATCCGCCTGCCAATGCAGGGGACACGGGTTTGAGCCCTGGTCTGCGAAGATCCCACATGCCGTGGAGCAACTAAGCCCATGCCCCATGACTACTGAGCCTGCGCTCTAGAGCCCATGAGCCACAACTGCTGAAGCCCGCAAGCCACAACTACTGAAGCCCATGCGCCTAGAATCTGTGCTCCGCAACAAGAGAAGCCGCCGCAATGAGAAGCCCGTGCACCACAACGAAGAGTAGCCCCCGCTCGCCGCAGCTAGAGAAAGCCTACGTGTAGCAACAAAGACCCAACGCAGCCAAAAATAAATAAAATAAAATAAATTAATTTAAAAAAATAGAGAACAGAAAGAACACAGAGCGAGTATGTAATAGGTAATTGTGGGTCACTGCCAGACAGCTGCTAACAGTATCACTAAGTTGGAATATTTTGTAGAGAAATCCATAGAACAACACTTTGCTAGTTTTTATGGTAAGTGACCCTAAATCCCAAGGCCTTGCATTCAGATGCACCAAGAGGAGCTAACAACCTTTTTCATATGATGACTTATTGGTCAACCTAGAAGTTTGCAAGGACACCATACAAACCTGAGTCTAGGGCAAGGCTTGGCAGACTGTGGCCTGCAGGCTGTGTGTGGCCCTCCACTTGTTTTTGTAAATAAAGTTTTGTTGGAACACAGCCACACCTGTTTGTTTATATATTGTTTTTGGCTCCTTAGGCTACAGAGTTGAATAGTGGCAACTGGGAGATCATATGGCTCATCAAGTCTGAAATAGTTATTACTATCTGGCTCTTTACAGAAAAACTTTGCCAACCACTGGTTTAGGGCAAGGTGGTAACTATTTAAAACTTTGTTCAGCAGTAGCTCTGTATTTTAAACTACTATTTCCCGAAATGAAGTTTTGTTTCCTGCCTGCCTTCCTTCTTTTCTTCTTTTCTTGTCTCTCTTCCTCCTTTTTTTCCTTTGATTTTCTGCTTTTCTTTTGCTATTATTTAAGTTACTTCAGAACAGAACAATTTAGAAAACTTAATACTGTTCAAATGTATTTCAGTGCAATTCTAAAACTTTGGAGGGATTCAAATATCTTTTTTTTTTGTTTTTTAAAGGTAACACTATTTACTTTTTATTATTTTACTACTTGAAAATAAAGTTTTGAAGTCTAACTGAATATTATTAAAACATTCAAACTCTTATTTTTAATACATATGTTATAAATAGAAAGAATAGTCTAGATTTTGGCCTCTTCCTGTTTTGGACATCCATATTCTAAAGAAAGTTTTTATTAAAAAGTCTTCTAGTAAAAACGTCTGATATGCCGATATTTAAACCTTTTTATCATCTTTCTATATTGGTTAATTTTTTTTTTTTTTTTTTTGCGGTATGCAGGCCTCTCACTGCTGTGGCCTCTCCCGCCGCGGAGCACAGGCTCAGCGGCCACGGCTCATGGGCCCAGCCACTCCGCAGCATGTGGGATCTTCCCGGACCGGGGCACGAACCCGCGTGCCCTGCATCGGCAGGCAGACTCTCAACCACTGCACCACCAGGGAAGCCGTATACTGGTTAAATTTTTGAAAACAACTTTTATATACCAGTTCACATTATAGAAATAAGAATATTTTTTAAAGGTTTGAAAAGAATAATTACTGCTTCTCAGCTTTCTAAATAGGTCCTCATGCAATTATATATGGAATGAATAAACAACAAGTTTCTACTATATGGCACAAGGAACTGTATTCAATATCCTGTGATAAACCATAATGGAAAAGAATATAAAAAAGAATGTATATATATATGTATAACTGAATCACTTTGCTGTACAGCAGAAATCAACACAGCATTTCAAATCAACTATACTTCAATTAAAAATAAATAAATTTTAAAAATAAATAAATAGGTCCTCATCCATCCAGAGTGATCATTTAAATTGGACTACTACTTGTTAAGCTATTACACCTGGATCTTCCTGGGAGGAAAGCTGACCTTCAGGGGAATAGAATTAGACCTATAAGTCTGCTTATGGGCTTGAAGTTGACTTTCGAGTTTGCTGGAGACTAACATTATCTATACTGTGTTCTGTCTCCAGTTCATCCGTTTACATCGCTTCCTACTGAATTCCCCCTCAGCCCATGTCCTTCACAAACAGGAAGAAATCATCCAAAGAAGCCCATTAAGTTTTCAGTCTAAAATGCTTACCATACAGAACATGTACATATGTGCTCTGTTCCAACAATTGTCAGATTTGCAAGATTAAAGTGGTGTATAAGTCTAAATAACCTCCCATTGGCATGCAGTATATTGAAATATCTGTTTTTGCTTTGAGAGATGTAAAGCTGTAGGAAAGGAGAGAGGTCAGATTCCAGCCCTCTTTGAGTGTAAAGCTTACCTGTGCTCTTTACGCTATCAAAATCCAAACTCATGATGACCTTTGGGACTAGAATATGGAAGTGATGGAATATGCAGACCTTGACAATCTTTATCACAGCCGCATCCCTTTTTCAGTTGAGCCCTACAGATTTCCAGTGGAATCCTCGGTTTCATAGACAATTGAAGATACCAGTCATTATACTGGGGCTTAATAATAAAATAATAATCATAAATATCAGTGACTTTCAGGTAAAGCTTTGAAAACTCACAGGTAGGGGTATGGAAAATGGATTGGACAGGGAATGTTTCTAGTTTGTTTTTTCAAATTAAACATTATTTGACTGATACACCTGAAAATCCAAGACATCAAAACTTTAAATTCTCTCTGGAAACTCTTTCTTATTTCATTTGGGAACACTCAGAAAGTTTATTCTTACTGGTAAGTAAACATGATTGCATTGTAGTCATGATTCCATATAGTTTTGTGGGTTTTCTAAGATCAGCACTTGGTTGGCCTCCAATCAGCAAATTCTATAATACAGTGAACTTTTTGTTTTATAGTAATAGCTATTTTTATGAATAACTCTTCTGCTTTCCTTTTTTTCTTTTTTTTTTTTTTTTGCAGTATGCGGGCCTCTCACTGCTGTGGCCTCTCCTGCTGCGGAGCACAGGCTCCGGACACGCAGGCCCAGCGGCCATGGCTCACGGGCCCAGCCGCTCCACGGCATGTGGGATCCTCCCAAACCAGGGCACAAACCCGCGTCCCCTGCATCGGCAGGCAGACTCTCAACCACCGCGCCACCAGGGAAGCCCAACTCTCCTTTTTCGTAGCAGCATAGTAAACCAGTCAATCATGAATTCTTCTAAATGAGCCTTACCATTTTTTGAAAAATTTCTGTGTGACTAGTGCCCCCTGAGGTTGTTCAGCAGAGGCAGAACGTTAGTAGAGTTACTAGCAGGGGCGCAGAAGCTTCTTTTAAGTTGCTCCTCTCGTGTGCAAGCATTTTCTGTATTATGTTGGCTCTCACGAATTGCAAATATATAGCTTGGGTTGTATCACTAATTCAACTGGCACTCATTTTTGTTTTGTACAGAAACTACCTTAAATTTTTAAAAATAATTTGTTATTATACCAGCCTTAAAAACCAACATACATTTGCATAAAAACCAACATACATTGCTCAAGAGTAGAACCTTAGACAAAAAGGAGACCGTGCAGCTCAAAAATTAAATAATTATATTAAACAATACATCATTCAGAAGCAGTGTTATCTTTTCTGCCTTGATCACAATGGGTGCCCTCTGAAGAGGGTAACAAAAATGGGTATGTAACTTACTCATACATGGACTCTCTCCCCTTGAGAACTGCAGGCCATTTCCAGTGTTTTTGTATTTCACTTTGATAGTTTGGGAAGGATTGGGGGAGCCTAAACTTCTCAGCTTACCCAGCTGTTCTGGGCTGTTACACAATGTTCTTTGAAGGTAATCAGGGTTTCCATGGATCCCGATCCAAAGTTGAGACTACGGATAGCTAACATTTATGAGCGCTCACTGTGTCAGGCAGTGTTCTTCATACACTAAACTCATTTAAACTCACAACAGCCCTCTGAAGGTAGGTACTATTATTGTCCACATTTTGATGACAGTCAGTAGAGGCTCAGAGAGGTTAAGCAAGTTGCCTAAGGTGATACCAGTTGTAGTAGTTCTCTAAAACAGTCATAACAAAGTACAGGTGGCTCATCTTACAGTTCTGGATGCTACAAGTCCCAAATCAAAGTATCAGCAGAGTTGGTTGGTTTCTTCTGAGGGCTGTGAGGGGAGAATCTGTCCCAGCCTCTCCCCTTGGCTAGTAGTTAGCTGCCTTCTACCAGGGTCTCTTCACATCGTCTTTTCTCTGTGATATCTCTGTGTCCAAATTTCCCCTTGTCATAGTGGCTTAGGGCTCACTCTAATGACCTCATTTTAACTTGATTATCTCTATAAAGACCACATGTCAAAATAAGGTCACATTCTGGGGTCCTGGGGTTTAGGACTTGAACATATGAATGGGGGGTGGCACGCTTTCAGTCTCCACTGAAATTGCCATTTTTGTGGGTCAGACACGGTTGAATATTGCCAGGATGATTCAACCTGACCTATTTCCAAATGACATCATTCAGGTCAGTCTTAGAAATATTATCACCCTTGATTTGCCTGGCACTGAGGAAGGGAGAGTACTAAAGAAATAAAATAAATGCGCTACAGCCTAGAGAATTTATACTCTCTTAAGAATGTATGTTCTTAATTATCTCAAAGTAGACAATGCTTAAACGTGCACACAAAACCCTTTGAAAAAAAATATCAGTCCCTGTACAAAGGAATATCTGTGATTTTTTTCTGGAACTTCTATTCTAGCAAAGACAGTAGTTTGGGACTCAGTGACCAGATAGATGTAGAGCCTCTAAGCTTTCACTGGTGTATTTATTAGCGCTCTCTGGTTATGAATCTGAGAAACCACCTTCATCCTGCTGGCTCATGCCAACAAGGATGAACTTCTCACCTGAATTCCACCAATCACTTTCAAATTTGAAGGTGATGATTTCAAAATTGGAGAGTACATCCTAATCGATGGTCAAGTCTAGTTGCCCTTTGATATAATTTATAAAATTAAGTTTATTAAGTAAACTTAATCTTAAAATGAGTGTATGGAATAACTCCAAGTGTACGTGGTAGCCTCTGTGTATTTTAGATTTGTTTTTCAATACCAAGATGGCTATTTCAACCCTGTTTCCCTAGTTGCTTTTATTGAAAAAGTCTTTTTTGTAAATTTATAGATACCGAAAATGTTTTTTCTTCATTTAAAAATATTCTGTCTTTGGGAATTCCCTGGCAGTCCAGTGGTTAGGTAGGACTCAGTGCTTCCACTGCAGGGGGCACGGGTTCGATCTCTGGTTGGGGAACTAAGATCCCACATGCCGGGAGGCCAAAAAAAATTCTGTCTTTAACGATTCAGTTCAGTAAAGGTTTTTAACAACAGTAGCCACCTAACCCCATCTATCATCCCTGTCTCTCTTCCCAGCCTTCATATTTTCCTGTTCTCTTGGTACTAATATTCCATAAGAGTTATCAGAGAAAACTAGGATTCACACTAAACTCAATGAACACCTGTGAATCCTGCTTAGTTTCTGTATGATACTACTTAGAGGCTTGCAAAATTAGTTAGACTCTGTGTTAGTCCGTTCGGGCTACTGTAACAAAATACCATGGACTGGGTGGCTGAAACAACAGACATTTATTTCGCACAACTCTGGGGGCGGGGAAGTCCAAGACCAAGGCACCTGCAGACTTGGTGTCCAGTGAGAGCCCTCCTCCTGTTTTGCAGACAGCCATACCCTCAAGTCACACAGAGAGAGAGAGAGAGAGAGAGAGAGAGAGGGCTTAGTCTCTTCTCTTCTCATAACGCCACATCACAGAGGCTGCATGCTCATGACCTCATCTAAACCTCATCACCTCCGAAACACCCCACGTCCTATTACTGTCACACTGGGGTTCGGGGCTTGAACATGGGGATAGGGTCGGCAGGGGGACCACTCAGTCCAGAGCATACTTGGAAAACTCCGGAATCAACACCACGTCCCCTCTTCATTCTCACGAGTGTGTCCTTTGGGTTTCAGGTGTTCCCACCCCAAGCCAAGAAATTCTCCGGCATACGCTGAACACGCTGGTCCGGGAGCGGAAGATCTACCCGACTCCAGATGGGTACTTCATCGTAACCCCACAGACTTATTTCATAACTCCTTCCCTCATAAGAACTAACAGTAAATGGTACCACTTGGATGAGAGGATACCTGACAGGTCTCAGTGTACCTCTCCCCAGCCCGGGACCATCACGCCCTCTGCCTCAGGCTGCGTCAGGGAAAGAACGTTGCCCAGGAACCACTGCGACTCTTGCCACTGCTGCAGGGAAGATGTGCACGGCGTGCACACGGCCACCCTGCAGAGGAAGCCCGCCAAGGACTGCAAAGACCCGTACTGCCCTCCTTCCCTTTGCCAGGTGCCACCCACCGAAAAGAGCAAAAATACTGTCAACTTTTCGTATAAGACGGAAACTCTCTCCAAACCTAAAGATAGTGAAAAGCAGTCCAAAAAATTCGGGCTCAAGTTATTCCGGCTCAGTTTTAAAAAAGACAAGACCAAACAGCTAGCCAATTTTTCCGCCCAGTTTCCTCCCGAAGAGTGGCCCCTGCGAGATGAGGACACGCCAACTACTATCCCTCGGGAGGTGGAAATGGAGATCATTAGGCGTATTAACCCGGACTTGACCGTGGAAAATGTCATGAGGCACACTGCACTAATGAAGAAACTTGAGGAAGAGAAAGCGCATAGGAGTAAAGCCGGGTCCTCCGCCCATCACAGCGGAAGAAGTAAAAAGAGTCGGACTCATCGCAAGTCCCACGGAAAGTCTCGGTCGCACAGCAAGACACGAGTGTCCAAAGGAGACCCATCAGATGGCTCCCATCTGGACATCCCGGGTGAAAGAGAGTATGACTTCTGCGATCCTCTTACCAGGGCTCCCCGGGAAGGCTGCTTCATCATCGAACACAAAGGTGATAACTTCATCACGCATAGCAATGCGAACGTGACTGAGTCTCATTTCCCCATGACTCCAGAATGGGACGTGTCTGGGGAGCTGGCCAAAAGGAGGACTGAGATGCCTTTTCCTGAGCCTTCCAGGGGAAGCTCCCACTCAAAAGTGCACCGAAGCCACAGCCATACCCAGGACCGAAGGTCCAGGAACGAGAGATCCAACAAGGCCAAGGAGAGGTCCAGATCCATGGATAACTCCAAAGGCCCCCCGGGTGCTTCTTCCCTGGGGATGCCTGAAGACCTGGCTGAAGGCTGCAGCCAAGACGACCAGACCCCCAGCCAAGCCTACATTGACGACGGTACTTTAAGGCCTGCACAGACTGTCAGTCATCAAAGGGCTCACATTTCGTCCACAAGCTACAAAGAGGTGTGTATTCCAGAAATAGTCAGTGGCAGCAAGGAACCTCCCAGTGCTTGCAGCCTCTTGGAGCCAACAGGCAAACTGCCCGAGAGTTTGCCATCCTTTGGTGAACTCAACTCTTGTTCAACAAAAACAGCTGCAGATGACTATTTCCAGTGTAACACCTCCAGCGAGACGGTGCTCACGGCGCCGTCACCTCTGGGAAAGAACAAAGAGGATCCTGACACTCTGACCCTGGCGGAAGGGGTGAAAAAGCTGCCTCTGTCGGACAGGCAGGCCCCACATCCCTCCAGGGAGCCTGTAGGACACAAGGAGGAGTCGCCAAAGGGGCCAGGCGGGGGCCCAGCGGCTTCGGGCACTGTGGCCGAAGGCATCGCCAATGGACGCCTCATCCAGCATCACAGCGCCGAGCCCAGCAGCCTGGATAAGAGGAAAGAGATATTCAGCAAAGACACACTGTTCAAACCTCTTCACAGCACCTTGTCTGTAAACAGCTATCACAAACCAAGCCTGTCTGTCCTCAAATCTCACCCGAAGACACCTGCGGACACACTGCCAGGCCGATGTGAGAAACTGGAGCCGTCCCTAGGGACCTCGGCTGCACAAGCCATGCCAGCTTCCCAGCGTCAGCAGGAGTCAGTGGGGAACCAGGAGGCCTCTTTTGACTATTACAACGTCTCTGATGATGATGAGTCTGAGGAAGGGGCAAACAAGAACACAGAGGAGGAGAAAAACAGAGACGATGTGGGCACCATGCAGTGGCTCCTGGAGAGGGAGAAGGAAAGAGACTTGCAGAGGAAATTTGAGAAGAACCTCACCCTCCTTGCCCCAAAGGAAACCGACAGCAGCAGCAACCAGAGGGCCACCCATTCAGCACGTCTGGACAGCATGGACAGCAGCAGTATCACGGTGGACAGTGGATTCAACTCCCCACGGTAGGAAGAGGCATCTCTCTGCACACACATACACCTACCAGGGCCTGGGGCTTTATAAAATAACTCGGAAGGTTTCTGATTTCACAGTCTCAGTTCTGTGAATGAGGGTTAAGAGTTGTGTGAGCTGTATTGTTAACAGCCTGTTTCTGACTTCTTTTTCAGGAATTGAAACAAATGTTTCTGCAGCTGTAGAGATCACCAATCTGGACTGGTGGGTTGGCTCCTTCCCATCCAATCTAAGACCAACATTTCCCAGTATTTTTCCTTCGATGTTTATACTGCCACCATGCTGATAAAGGAAGGGTTTTTTAAAGGCCCTTCAAAAATAGTAACTTTTTGAGTAGAATGAGTAGTCAGTGTGGAGGTGGGAGGTAGGGGCTGGGAATAACTTGATTGACTCAAGGATGGGGAGTCCTCCTAATGAGAATATAATAGCCAATTTCAAAACCTTTCCAGTGGATCTAGAAGCCTGTTACTATTTTAATCCCGACTTTTTATGCCGCCCTCACCCCTTGCTCTCATACACCTTCCTCTCACCGCTCAGAAGTCTGCGGACACGTGGAACCTGTTCCTGTTACATAAAGATTAGGGGCCTGTGTGCCATTCGTCCAAAGCATGTGCCAGCACTTTTCTTTCTCCTCCTGCAGAACTAACGCCACTTAGGCGTGCTGACCGTGGTGTCTTCTTCTCAGTAGGTGCTGGTAATTCAGCAGAGGTTGACAGCTAAGAGTGTGCAGTGCCCGATGGCCACGTCCAATGCAGTGAAGTGGTTCAGGGGTTTCGAAAACAAAAGCGAGTCTATGCAACTTTCCTTTTTTCTCCTTAATTCTTCCTTCTCTTCCAAGAGCAACTTGGGACCTGATTCTGCTTCTAAATTCTACTCCAGATTGGTGACTCTGAGATGCAGAAATAACATTGAGAGATTGACATCTCCCATTAGTTGTGATTCCCAACTTTTTACAATATTTATTATTTTAGCAAGTCCAAGATATTATGTAGTTCATATATTTATTTTAATTATTAAGAATTAAAATTAGTTATGTTGTAATCATTTCACTCTATCTATGGATAATTTGGGGACAGAGCATCCCAAAATCAGAATTGGGAATCGTTATTCTGTTTGTCCCTTATTGGACCTTTGTTATTTCTTAAAGGGCTAGTTCCTTTTATTATTATTATTAATTTTTTTTTTAATTATTGTCGTGTAACCTTCTTTTCCAAGTTAATACATGTGTGGAAGTCTAATGTCTAAACAAACCACAGAGATGGCACTCTGGTTAAAGTGGAGACCAGGAGCCCCAGATCTCCTCTGCCCATCCCTCAAGGACCCTAAGAGGCTTCAGGGGGCCATGGCACTCAGTCTGAAAACTACTGGCCTATTAAGTGACTTTTCTAAGACGTAATTTTTGCTAAATATTTTTTAATCCCAAACCAAATCTTAACCAATTATTTTATATATTCTTTTCTCTCTACTTCCCTCTTCAACTCTTGTTTTTCCTCTTGATTTCCTAGTAGGGATACCAGATAAGCATAACTGAAAGTCTGCTATTGATGGTAGAAATTCAGTACCATCGCTTATGGAAGGTGTGGGTCATTTGCCTGGACGTTATGCTCTACTGTTTCTTATTATATAGCTTCTCCCTGCCTGATGCTTCTCTGCACCAGTTTCCAGCAATTCATTTGGCCCTCTTGGCCCCTGGACCTCCACGGAGGGAAAACCGCAATACTCCAGAGACAGCTGCTAAGGAGACCCTGAGAGTAGTTTAGTGGGTTCTAACTCAAAACCTTACCACTGCATAATATTGAAAGTTTTTTGTTTGGGAACAAGTAAAAAGAAATGTTCATGTCATCATTGAACCAATCTCTCCACAGAATATATTTTATTAATCTCTAAATTTGGAGTACAGAATATGGAATTTATGAATGGGATTATTTCTTGAACTAAGCTTATTTGCATTGCTTTAATAATGTAGTCAAGGTCAAATGCGTTGTCCTGGTAGAAGAAAAAGGTCTTCCTAAGGAGACAGTCTTCACCCAGGAGCTATGTATTGGCCCAGTGTTATTAGGTGCAATTTTCTCTACAGAAAAAGGTAGATCACCCGTAAATTTCATGCAGTTAGAGAATCTACAGAGCAATTCCTAATTTTACCCCTTTCATAATTAATATCCTTTGGTTAGAAGCTGGGTGACAAACTTATTTTCTATATCTATTTTTAAACTACTTTAAAATTTTATTTTATCTCATTTGAAGTCTCTCCCTATACTTCAGCAAATTCCCTAATATACCTTTCTGATGTATGAAGATGGTCTACGAAGGAGAATATTTGAGTTACAGGGAGTTTTATTCTCCAGCGTGAGGAGTATTTTAGCCATATAGTATTATCACGCTGACACCTCTCCACCACTGCAAGTACAGGAATCTTAAGTGGGCCGTTTATTCAGATTTTTCAGTAAATAATTGACAGAGCAACTAAGATCTAACCTCCTCCCCGCTGCCAAAGAAAAGAGAAAAATCAAAATCAAAAAAGTTGATCTTCATACTCTCAGTCTTCAGTGTTGGCTCAGAGGTCATGTTCAGCCACATTTCCAAAATTCTTCAGTCCCTCTTGTTGGGAACCAAAGGGCACTGAGAGAAGGAAACAAGGCAGAAACTTAAACTATGCTGTGAGATCTAATATTGCAAATGAAAAATCCCGACATGCAAAGCCTGCTATTCCAAATCTGAGGCCAAAAACCAATATGAAAATCAGAGGGATTCAGGCTGCCAGGGATGTGTCTGCATAGTGTACTGTGCCGTCCGAGTGTGGGTCCAAGGGCAATGTGTGCAGCAAGAGGCGCAGCAGGCCCTCTTGGTTCAGTTTTTCTGCCTAGATTCCTGAGATGTTATTTTTAATGTCGTACTCCGTTAGTTCTCTTTAAAAAAGTAAGGAATTTTAAATTGGGGGGTCTATTGTTACTGCTAACCTTCCATCTCCATAAACTGTTTCACCATCATATCCACAGCCTTCCATATGACTGTCACACATTGTACTCAGTGTCACAGCAATAATGAGATATACCCTTTGGAGACACTGGAACGCTCTATGTATTTATCACTATTAATATGTTGGCCGTGGTCAAGGGTGGTCTAAGTACAGATAGCTCCTAACTTAGACCATCTGTTGCGATGATGTGTGTTGATGGTGCCTGGCACAGTGCCTGGCAGACAGTAGGGTCTTGATAAATTAAACTCCCGCCTCAAAAGCTGGTTTAAAAGCGGATCCCTGAGACCTCAAAATGCATTTTCCCATAGACAAAAACGGCATTACTAGTGTATAGATTCCCAAGCCTACCCACAGTGGCTACTTCATTCATCAGATGCCAGATGTGCAACAGAAATAGCTTATGTTTCTCTAGCTTTTTGGTGTACAGATTCTTCATTATTGCTTATTTCTTCTTCTGAGTCACTCAGTGAGTAGGTACATGACACATAACTCACCCTATTTTAAAGATGAGGAAGTCAAAGGCCATAAAAAGTTATCGTGATTGAGAATGAAACTGAAGGAACGCGCCGCGACCTCTTTGAGGTGCTACATGCTTATTGCCTTTCTTCCTTCCACCACCTGGCCCTCGGTTGTAGTCCTGGAAAACCTCTGATGAATTTTCTTAGAGGAGGTGTAAAGCAGGTAAGTAGGTAAGTCTAGCACTTCCCATTGCTTTAGTGATGATGTTTTGGAGCATTCTTTAGGCATGCCCAGATTTACGATAAGCCTCATGAGAGAACTTAACTTACTTCTATGAATGTATTAAACTTCCAGAGGTGCGCTCTGCAGTCAGGAAGGGTCCAGTTGTCTTTTTGGTAGCCAGTGAACAAAATTCCTTTTAAACAATCAACTCTTGGCTTTTTGATGAGAAGCAAACTTAAGGCCAAAAGGGGGTTAGGATGAAATAGCCTGTCAGGAATGGCTGCCACGGTATAATGTTCAGACAAAATTGCTATCAGTTTAGGATGGGAATGAAAGTGAGCTGTGAGGATGTCCCCTATGTAGTTTGACCTTCAATCAGTGATGGGGACCAACATGTAGAATATTTTATACATCTTGAATCTATCCAGTAGAGTGGATGTTTTGAGCATCATTATGGTTTCTTCCACCTCTTTGTAAGCTGATGTCTCTTACTACCATTTTCAGGACCTTGAACATGAAACCCATTCAGTTCTGATCAATCAGGCCAAGTAATCTTATTTCTGCCATTGCCCTACACATCTGCCATGTTAAATGTTACACACCTCTTGGAACAATAAAATAGCTTCAAGTATTCCTAAATTAGAAAAACTAAAAGAGAAATCGAAATACTAAAGCCTTTAAACCACCTCTGTTCTATAAGAATCCTTTAAAAAATAGAATATTTCTACCAAATCAATGTAAACAGGGAAAATCTAAGATTCCTTATCTGAAAATAGAGTGTATTTTTTACTATAACGTTATATATTTGAAACAGAGGTATGAAGTGTTTAAAAAGAATTTTATTCCCATCAGTGTGGCATACTGGCTAGTGGCCTGCTTGAAGTTCACCGCCAGAGTCAAAAATCTGCTACTCGAGAAGGAAAACAAAATCATCGGGGTAAAATTATGGAGTTTATTCAGGAGCAGTTCTATCAATGAGTTTCAAGCCTGAAATGAACACTACCTGTGTATATTTATGAAGACTATTCTTTTTTAAAAACGAACGCGATAGCCATCTATCACATCAGATCTTGAAGGTGTTTCCTTGAGTGTGAAAGGCAAGGGAAGACACTTATTTAGCTGTATAAAAACCCTTTATTCAAACATGTCTTGTGAAAGCTGCCGAAGTCCAAGTTGGAGGAGCATATGTGAATAATCAGTATGAGATGGTATATACATGGCATGATGAACCGACAGAGAAAATCCATTAACTGCATCATTTGCTCTTCCTCCAGGGCTCAATATATAATTCTTTATGTTCCAAACCAAACCAAACAAAACCAAACAAAACCTTTTTACTCTTTTAGCACTCGGGAGAGCCTGGCTTCCAACACATCAAGCATTGTTGAAAGTAACCGTCGTCAGAACCCTACCTGGAGCCCGGCCCACGGTGGAGCTGGCCCGACCTTCAATTTCCGAACAAGTACGGACAGCCCCACAAATGAAGCTGAGAAATTACAGAAACCTTCCAGCTGCTTGCAAGCTTCTGTTACTAGCGTGTGATGGTCATTCTGCCTCAGATCTCCTGTCTCATTCGATACAGCCAAGTTTATGGCACTGGGACTGTTGTTTACATCTTTGGGAAGACAAGCATCTCAACGGCAGTTTTTGTGTTGGCTTAAACTGTGCTGCTAAGTAGGCTAGGGCAAAACACAACAACAACAAAATCTGTATTTCAGAGTATGCTTTTCACATTTATGGCTCTGTAGCAACAAGAATAGCAGTAGGGGTGATATGTATACTTTGACTTCACTAATTGTACCTGAGCACACATAGGAAAGTCTTAGACACTGTCAGTGTAATATGCATTTTCGATGTCATGCAGTTGCCAAGTCCATTCTAAAATGCCACAGATGCGTGTTGCTCCCAGTCTGTGACCGAGTGGTGCCACAGAACACTGATCCTTGACACTTCCAAAAACAAAAAACAAAACAAACAAAAAACTAAGCCTCCACAAAATGTCAAATGCAAGGGTCTACCTTGAGGGAAGTCAATGCCAAACTGACTAAAAGGGACCCCAGCCCTTTGTGTGTGAATCGTTTAGGCCCCAGTCATTTTGCACTGTGAGTTTTCGTGACAAGATTTTGCAGGAGCCCATGGAAGTGTGTCAGAAGGGGTCGTGATCCAAATACTGGGAGTGTTTGTTTTCAGGATTTTAAGTGTCACGGATGCTTGTCTGATTTTTTTAACCTTCCATAATCACAAACAGGAATATAGGCCTTTGAATCTGAAATGGACAAAGGAAGGGTCTCCCAGCCTGGCTGGGGCACAGCACTAAGTGATGGGAGAGGTAATGGGGACCTGTAGGGGTGTTCATCAGATACTGAAGGAAGATCATTTCCTCCTTGTGATACTTGACGGTGATGCTATCTTACTATAATAGATATGATAATTTGTTTAAAATCAAAGTGTTCTTTGTGATACAAATGAAGACTATGGCCTGGGGACGTTATTCTTTCTAATGGAAGGACATAAATCTATTTTATGTAGTTTTAAATAGAATGCCTAAATTAGGCTGTGGGAGATAATTTTTAGTGGTTATAGGAAAGAGCAAATTTAGGGGGAGTTGAACTTCAGGCCTTTTATTCCTGGGAAGATAATCTATAGAGAAAACTTTAAAATACTTTTTGATTAGAAATATACATGTGCCCATGTAATTAACAACAGAATGTGATCATTCTGCAAGTGTGGTGTAATCCTAACTTGTACGCCCCTAAAATTTATTAGAATTACAATTATGCATACATGAACTGTGCCAGAGTAATGTTTACAGATACTTTGTAACCAGTTTCAGGAGGCATTTTTAGGTAGATGTATAGTTTTTAGCCCAACTTATTTCAGAATGGTTTGTTAACATTTTGCTTCGGTTTACAGTATGTCATGTTGAATACAAAGAAGGTTCTCAGCCGCAAAGGGATTACAGATAATCAAGATTCAGCCTTCTAAGAAAGAGGCACCTCCAAGTTCCCATGTCTTATTTTATGAGAACCATGGAATAAATCTATAGATAAAGGAAAATTATTCACAAAAGGGTTACATGTGACACAAGTAAATGGTCTGACAAAAAGTTTTATTTAGTTAAGTGGCATGTGATGTTTGGAGCCATATACCGTAAAATATATATCCCAAAATTTTCACCTCAGATTTCAGCAATTGGCATAGAATCTGTGAAACACTTTTGCTTCGGTATTAGGTTGAGTCACTAGCCATCTGTTTAAAGAGTGGAGTCATATACACAGTTGAACTGTTTCTTGAAACATTTGGATCCTTCCTCATGCTTTTTCAGATATCTGGAAGTTGCATTGGGTCAAACTGGACTCATCAAGTTTAGTACAGATTCCTTTTTTTGTGCTTATAGTGAAACGTGAGCACGTTTCTTGGCAAACTCCCGCACCTTTAAGATGCTTCAGTCAATTGGCTTTCAGTCTCATGCCTTATTTCCTCCAAGGCATGCCTTGATTGCTCAGAAATGCACTCCTCTCACTGCTTAAATTTGTCTGGGAGGAATGATAATGTACCGAATAGACTATATACAGAGTCTGTTTCCTTGCGGAGATGTATGCCACACAATTACTAAATTCTTCTAAATTCTTTTTTTTCCCCCAAAACCCTGCCCTCCAGCGTCTGCCATACTGTCAGTTCATAAATAATAGAACCATTGAAACAATACATCAGCCTCTAGTTCATCCTCCTAAAGTAGCCAATATAATAATCAAATACTGTGTGAACAGGAAAGGAAAGCATTACCTTGAAGAGAAGCTTTAAAATATGAATTTATCAATATTTCACAAGAAATAGGTTTACAGAAGACATTGGAATAAAATGTGTACCACTCTTTTCCCGATGCTATGAGGTACATGATTAAAAAAAAAAAAAAAAAAACTCCCTTAGACCAGCAGCCATTAGCATAGAAATGATGGACTTCAAAGAGGATATGATGTGAGCAGACGTTCCACGTAGAAATATTCCCGTCTGAATCGAATCGGGATTCTTGAACGGGGGAGGAGTGGTGGCGGGAAGCACATTACAAATATGACCCTAGACGGTCTGCAGTGATGTTCTCAGTGACCCACTCCAAGCTTTGCTAGCATCCTTTTCCTCCAGGAAACGATAGCTTTGTGGCCCATGGCTGCTTATCTAGACTTCACTTAGAGTTTATCAACTGAAAGGTTTACAAAACTGGATCTGGTTGAATCTCTGTGTAGTGTTCAACTTTAAAGGGTCAACCCATCTGTCGGCATTTTGCACACGTATGTATTATTATGATACAACATATTACTTTATGGTAATTTTTATTTTTACATATAACTACCTCCATAAATTTGATGAAGCGGCAGCAGCGTGTTCAAGTGTATTGTTCGGAAAAGCAAAGTTGAAAACTTTCTTAACCATTAGGCCATGGCGTTCTGTGTGTGTGTCAGTGATTGCCTATGTGGACTTGTGACTGTTTCATTGCCATGGTTTTTCTCTGACGGCATTATTTCACTCTCATCTGTAAACCTGTCTCTCTTCTTCCCCACAAAAGCACACGTGAATTTGTTGTGAATGAAAAAACGAAGTTTAAATTTCTTGTCTCCCCTGCCCCGGCTCCTGCCACCAGCCCCGGACCTCATTCCTAGAGGTGAGAGCACGCGCTACCCTGCGGGCTGTGGGCTTCCGGCGAAGAGCCGCCACTTGATCATAACTTAGCAAAAGCTATTTACTCCTATAACATCTGATTTGAATTCTAGGTTTTCCGTCCCAGGGCACACCAGAAATTTGGACTGCCAACTTTGAAGCACTTTGGGCCTCACTACTTGCATGCTACCATATCGAGCTCAGACTTCATTTGAATTAAAAGAGCTGTGCATTGTATCCACAACTCCTGTTCCATAATTCGTATTTCATTTTATATATTTTGCACATCTCAGGGGACCTTCATAAGCATGTGAAAAGGGGGAGGGGTCCATCAAAAGAAACAAATAAGAGCAGAAAAAGGACTAGCTGGATAAAAGTAACAAATGACGGCTTCTCCAATGTTGTGAAGTTCAAATTCAGGAAGCATCCACTGAAAGTTAATCTGGAGTCACAACAGTCTGAACACCAGCTGTTCCCCAGTCTCCCTTTTTCATAACCCAACCAGCATTTCTAAAATATAAATTTAACTTATATTGCAGTCACCATGGGGAGAAAAATAAAAACCTGTTCAGCAGTAACGAAAGCATTGTTTGTTTTTTAGGTTGGCACAGCTTTGTAAAATTCTACCCAGGATAAACCACTTATCACCACAAAGTGTACTTGAAAATAAAGTTTTTAACTTAAATGAAAGGCATATTGCTCACAGTACAATAGTGATCTTGATTTGAAAAGTCTTACAATTTATAACATGGGCAGTATTTGGAGCTTGATTAAAAACCAACAACAACCTATGAGGACTTTGCAAACTCATTCTGGGATCTCAAAGTGCTTCCAAAGCATTCGGATTCACAATTAACAAAGCAGGTCATATTTGTAATACCCATACTTGAAATGAATAAACAGAAGGAGTGACATAAGATTACCCAGAAACACAGTGGCAGCTATCAGTGATCTATTTTCTATCTGTTTGATAGACCATCATGAGAAATCACGAAATACAATGCTATTTTTCTGATGTGTGCTAATAAAGTCAAAGAAAACGAATACAACTTGATACTTTTGTCCATTTTCATTCAAAAAGTTCAGGGTGTTGGGAATTTTACAGAAATCCACCCAAATGCTATTGTGGTCCAAGGTAGATCTGGACATACACCCTTGTTTACAGTTTCATGTTGGGCTTCTCTAAATCCCGTGCTAAAATACTGTCTTTCGGGAACACGACTGCTCCCGGCAGTGGAAGGTGCTGAGACAGAAATTTTCATTTAAAACGTTATCAAGTACTCTCCGCAATGCTTATTATCACAACTGAAATTCAATACACTTACTGAGCCCTACTTTGAAGAATCTGGATTTCCCAGGGAAGCTGATCTAGTTCTAAGCGTTTTTTTCTCAAATTATGAGGTAAAAGATCCTGGTTGGGGACCTTCTCCGTGTATCACAGGCCAGTCACAGAACCAGCTATCAGCGCACTGTCAGGTGACAGTGGACCCCCGCAGAAGCGATCCCTTCCTTCCCCCCAACTCCCCAGCCCCCCAGGCCCCTCCCACCCATACTCTTCTGTTGAGCAAATTTCTGCACACGTTGAGGGCTTGAGGAAGCTAGAACACAGGAAAAATGAATGCCAAAGCCATGGAAGACATTGCTTTGCTCTGGGTTAGTAAAATACAGACAGGAAAGAGGTTACTATCAGTCTGATCTTTGCCAAGTAAGATAAAAGAATCAGCCGTCACTCTGTCAGCTCTCTCGGAAGGTCTTACAGTATTAAGGATACATCCAATATTTTGCCATAGATTTTTGTTTGGGAGACATTTCATAAGTTACATCCATGAGAAAGTTCGTTATTAAATTTCCTGGTGTGTTGGAAATAGACATTGGCATCTCCCTGATGGAGTTAATCTCTGCGTCTTTTACAGCAGCATCCCAGAGAGGGATTCCCCAGCCAGTGCCCCTCTCACACAGAATCCTGTATTCTTACACTTGTTCTAGGACTTACAGTTGCTGATTTGCAAGGTTCAGAATTCTACAAGGCACAAGGGGAACTAAACCTGATGATGATGATTGTATATTTATGATCAGTTACAGGGCTTTGTCTGCTCGTTGCTGGCTTCAAATGTGAACACACACACACACAAACACACACACACACACACACACACACACACACACACACACACACACACCCCCTGCCAACCAGGGAAAGGGGGTTTCCTAGGTGAGGCAGCAATGACTCTGGAAGCCAGTGTAAGGCTAAGAGCTTGGTTGATCCGTGTATGGCTGCCTCCCTCCCTGTCCAGAGGCTGGTTTGGGCATGCCTATTCC